GGCCATGGCTCACGGGCCCAGCCGCTCCGCGGCATGTGGGAACTTCCCAGACCCGGGCACGAACCCGCGTCCCCTACATCGGCAGGCGCACTCTCAACCACTGCGCCATCAGGGAAGCCCCTTTCAGAGTTTTTTGATGTACATTGTAAATGAAATAAACATGCTTCTACTTGTACTGTATTCCAAGGAACTACAACGAGAAAAATAAAGCTACCAGTATCCCATATTTAAACCAACGGATACATCTATTGCTATGTAATGAATACGTAATATTAAAAGGAATAATTACATCGTGAGACACAATACAACTATTTTTCATGAAACTACAAACTACATAAACTTGAGATGAAACAGTCTGCTTGCTATTGCTGAATATTTAAAAACACATAATGCTGAAGCTTAAATTTAGAGATAAAGAGGTACATTATTATACGTTCTGATAAAAGCCAAATTTATTCCGTTATTAAAACTGAATATAAGCGACACATTATTCAAGGCAGAAAATTTTACTTGGGCAATTATTTATATATAACTTAAAGCATTTCATTTTTATCTCAGTTAATTAAATGGATGCATATGAATATAAGTTACACAGAAATGGAAAGCTATTTACCATCTTCCCTTCACTCCCCATTTATGCTAAAATTAATGTTAAATCTTACTAGTATAAATGTAAAAGTTACCTTTAGCTTCAAATTTTATATATATGTGTGTGTATATATATTTTGACATTTATATATGTATACGTTGAAAGAAGACACAAGTAAAAAAGATATAAAAATAAGTGTGCAAAGTTGCAAGGCAAAAAAGTCTTTATTCTCTTGCAACTATTCACGTTATGGTATAACTATCAGACTCTAATTAAAGTCATTTTCCTTGAAAATCTGTAAGAGAATGCGGAAGTGGCAATTAAAAGTTTTTCACTCAGAAAAATATTTACATAGTGGTGAACTACTCAAGCCAATTTTGTGTTCTTAACTATTACGTATTTCATAATAAATCTAGATGAGTTACTATTACTAAACATTTAACTAGTGCCCCAGATCAAAATCAACAGCAAACTTTCTGGGAAATTATGTACTGCAGCCCTTATTGAAAATGTACAGTATCCACAACATCTTTTCATCATTTAAAACATTCTACTGCAAAAACAAACTGCTGTTTTAGCTTACTTCTCTTTTAAAAATCCTAAATAAAAGCATTCTTATGAACAATGTATTTGAGCTTAAATAAATAAAAGCAGCCCTGCTTATAGAGTCAAGCTTGGCAGCCCAAATGAAATTACTAGAATAAACTTAAGCCTTAGGTTTACATATGAGTGTGTTTATATGTATGTCTTTATCTTTCCCAGATAAATCTAAATGAGGAGAGGGGTAAAATGAAAAGAAAAAAGGTATTTTTCTATCTTTTATTTTTCCTCCCTTGTGACTAGCAATAAAAACTCCTAAGAAAAAAGCTGTGTGCTAGCTTTGGGGACAGGAAAGTAGAGAAGGAAACTTTGAGACTCTTTTCAGTTCCCTGAAAGTAATGAGGAGGAACAAGAGAAAAGAAGCACAGAAGAAAAGATGAGTAGAATAAATAAGTGCTTGCTCCTAAAGTGGTGTCCTCTAGTTCAATTCCCAATGCTCCCTAAAGCAGTCCTTCTCAACTTCAGATCATTTCACTCTCTATCCAGAATCCTAATATATTTTCACAAAGCCTGCTTGCCTTTCTCTTGATAACAGCTAAGTGCCAGGCATGGTACCAAATGGATTATCTTTTTTCATCATCACAGCAACCTGAGGACTGAGGCTATGCAAAGCTGAGTAACTTGTCCAAGGTCATAAGGCTGGTAAGTGGTAGATTTGATCAGAAACCCAGAATCTCTATTCTATTAGCCATTACACTATATGGCATTCTCTCTTGCAGATTCCAAAATCTCACTTTTGTTGGTGCAAGATGAGACTAACATGGAGGGATCTGCTTAAACTTGTCATATATAAGTAGTAAGTATAAATTCATACACATAAAACTGAAGCAGAAAGAGCTCAAGTGCTTTGCTCTAATAGGGGTTAGTTTAAGTATCAAGTATCAGAATAAAGTAGAATGCTTTTGCAAAACTTTTAAAAATGTATCAAGATAGGTGATTGAGATACTAAGAATTCTAGAGCCTACTACTCAAAGTGTGTACCAAACAGCAGCATCTACACTGCGAGTTCGTTAAAATGCAGAATCTCAAGGTCCCACCCCCATACATATTAAATCTTCATTTTAACAAGACTTTCAGAGAATTCATATACACATTAAGTTTGAAAAGTTCTGCTCTGTAACTGCGAACCACACGTTGAGTGGCAAAGGTCTGGAAAACAGCCTTAGGATTCTCAAAACATAAACACCACTTAGAAATGTAGGACTTTCAAAAATCAACACAACACTATTTTCTGCTGAATTTGTAACTCTCAATGTTTTCCTGCCACCAGCAACTCCAATGTTTTATGGCACTCTTCCCAAAACAAAAAACAAAAACAAAAAAATGGACTCACTTGCTTCTGGGGCCACGATGGCAGAATTTCTAACAGAAGAATTTAGAGCTAGAAGACAGTCAAAAAGTATTTGCCTATAGTTACTAGTCTTGAAAGGGCTAATGCATAAAAGAATTTGTTGGAAAATTCATAAAGATAATGTAGCTCATAAAGTTAAGAAATTGAAGCTACAAATACTTGAGAAGGGAACAGATAGAAATCTGCATTAACAGTGTCAACTTTGCTTTAAGATATAATGCACAAGATCACACCAGCTATTTAATACTACTTTTAAAGAACTGTCTAAAGATTTTGAACAGAATATTACATGCCCAAATTTTTTTTCTTTCACAGATCACGGAGCAAGAAGAGTAGAGTCAAAGTAGGCTAATTATTTTTAAAGCAGTAAAAGGCCAAAATAGCTCAACCCAGTGCTTTCCGATTTATTTCTGAGTACTATATGCTAATTAAAACTTATTTATAAAGACTTATAATGAAGTATAGTCAGCAAATAGATTAAAATTCCTTTGTAACCTTAAGGCTTGAAGAAACTTTACAATATTTACTATGTGTAATGACTTTAGATTTCTTAAATAATCATCTCAATTAGTAACAAATTGGTCAATCTGTGAGCACTACATTCCCAACTGCATCAAATCATTGGCAGTATTATACTATCAAAAGTTTTAGTGGTTCTTAGTAGGAGCCAGAAATCAAAACTGAATATCATTTTGGCTTCCATTTGTCATATGGCTTCAAAAATTTCCAAAACACCTAAGTAGATTAGGTATTTCTATCTCCTTATATAGTTATTGTTATAAATTCTAACTATAACTATTTTGAAAGAAAACATTGCCACAAATAATATTGTACAGAAAAATGTGATATAAACCTTCTAAGCTGTTTCTTTTAATACATTTATTTATTTATTTATATTTATTTTTGGCTGCATTGGGTCTTCGTTGTGGTGCGCGGGCTTCTCACTGCGGTGGCTTCTCTTGTTGCGGAGCACAGGCTCTAGGTGTGTGGGCTTCAGTAATTGTGGCAGGCAGGCTCAGTAGTTGTGGCTCGCAGGCTCTAGAGCGTAGGCTCAGTAGTTGTGGCGCATGGGCTTAGTTGCTCCGCAGCATGTGAGATCTTCCTGGACCAGGGCTGGAATCTGTGTCCCCAGCACTGGCAGGCAGATTCTTAACCACTGCGCCACCAGGGAAGTCCCCTTCTGAGCTATTAACAACTTTATACAACCAAGAATATACTGCTTCATAGAGATTACCCAGTTAACTTTTTAGAAAACATGATTAAAAGTAGAATCCAAGTAACCAATTTGAACTAAACATTTAAAGGTGAAGGTTTAAGATGGATAAAGCAATTGACTAAAAGAAAGACTTTAAACCTATTATAGGATTCCCCCATCTTCTTTGCAACTTTAAGGAAGTTACTTGCCCCTCTAAACCTTGTTGAAATTCCATCCATCTCCTCAGTCCAAGCAATTTAATAGAATTAATTGGATCAAACCTCTAAAGAAATTTAGAGTCTCTTTGACCTTATATAAATAGGGGTTTTGGAGTCATAAAGACCTGAGTTTGAATCCACATAATAGTTTGAATCTATATACTAGTATACATAAACCAAATACTAGTTTAAGTGACCTTGGGCAAACTACTTAACCCCTTCTTTGCTTTTGCTGTTGTTGTGCAATAACAGCTGTCATGCCTCCATGGAGGGGGGAGGGGAGGGAAGTAATAAAGATTATATGAAAACCCCACAAAGTATTCAGAATGGTTTTTAATAAGTTCAACTAACCTTCATAAAAAACAGTTTTTAAAAAAATTAACTCTTCAAATCTATACTAGATATATAAACATTGCACAAATTATTTTTATCTTTCCTAAAAGATGAACTGATGATTTGAAAGGAAATAACATCTGAGAAAGTTTTTAAAACCAGAGATTATCTAAGCTTTTGTTTAGATTTCTTGTAAAATATCTAAAATACCATCACATAATAATTCTAATGTGTCATTTAGTTTCTTTTAAAATTGGTTTCATTTAATTAGTTTCTCAATGAAAAAATCAATGAATTCATTCCTAAGTTACTACAGTTATTCTTACTTTTAAAACACTTCAATGTTTACACAACAACTGAGGGTGTTAAAAGCCATCAGATAGTAATGTCTAACCTTTGCAACAAAAGGGTAATACATATTTTACTGAAGTTTTATACAGATTTTTGTTATGGCTAAAAATTAACTGTCTTAAAAAGAGTTAACTGAACCAAAATCAGTGGAGGTAAAGATATAATAGCACTAAAACTTAATAAATGATTACAAATACTTTACTACTGGAAATGCATATTTTAATATAAACAGCATAAAGTACACCTCTCTTCACAAAAATTTACATTCTACTATCTTTTTATTCAGGTGGAATGGAATAAATTTGAGGGAAATTGACAGGTGTGGGTTAGAGAGTTATAGATTCAAACAAACTTCTCATTTTGTATACACTTGAAGTGAATTATTTGATTTGTCCTCATTGTGTTATAAAAAGTTTTGTGAACTTTGTTTCTCCCCGTTTTGTGTTTATTGGTTAAAAAAGTTAATGTGTACAAACCTAGTCCTGTAGGATTTGTAATTCTTAACAGAGAAACTGCCAAGTACTGTGAATACTTTTACATTTCAGCATTTAATATTTTTTAAAGTATTACTGATATGTAAGTCATTATGTTCACTAAAAGTCTTTAAAAGTGTAGTCCGAAAGATCATGTTGTTTTTGGCTCAGTTTAAAGGTACTTCTTTCACAAGAGAATTCTTTTACTATTTACAACGTAAGAGATTTCTAGAATGGATAACTTAAACCTTCAGAGAAAACTAAAAATGACACACATACATAATAGGGAGTAAAATCCTATTATTAGGACAAATATACTTTTTACAAATTCCTTTAAATGCCTACACTTTCTTAAAAAGTACATAAGACATACTTTTCTTCTGATTAAAATGCAAGTGCTCTTCATTTTCCACAATAATAAGATATACCTACATTGTTATGTTTTTAGGGGGGAGGGGGAGGGGAGGGAAAGGTGAAGAGAAGAAACGTGAAATCCTACCTGACTAAAAAGAAATATTACTATGATAGTTTTTTCGGTTTGGTTTGGTTTTGGGTTTTGGTTGTGTGTATCTGTGTACACAAACGCTTCTGACCGGGAGGTGTAATGAGTAAAATGACAGTTTATGAAGCCCATAAAGTCTAATTTGGATCAAATTCAAATTCACAAACTCCACAAAAGTCTACAGATTAGCCCAGAGCTACAAAGAATAAAAGTCAAGGCAGCGCCGCCCAACTCTTAAGCCGACTGAAAAGCAAAGTGTGGTGAACTTAACCTTTACTCACCGTTGCGCTTAGAACTAGGTACACTGGTTCTTAGAGAAGAAAAAACAAAAACCCCAAGTTCCTCATGCCACTGTCTTAAAAAAAAAAAACAAATAAACAAACAAACCCGAGATAAGGCATTATACTAGGTAACCTGGAAATGGCATTAGGCTGCCACTGACGTGACCCTCACTTTGGCACCGGCACGTACCTGTCTGCAAAACCATACCTTCTTCTTCGCTCTTAAGACAGAAGCCCAGTCGGTAAACACACTTTGATTGCAAGGTATCCTACCTGTCAGCGTAATTCTTTGGTCTGGCGGCACCGAGACGACTTGGCTTTCCCGCATTTTCAAAGTGCCCAGATTTGGAGACGTTGCCTGCGCTCGGGTGACTTCGGGGGGTGTCCTACGAGCGCGACCCTTCATTCCCAGGGACAGCAGGCGTCCTTTGTACATCCACTTCTGCAGCTTCTTGACTGTCACCGCGGGCGGTTTGAGGAAGGGGAGCCCCTCCTGGCCGTCTTCTTTGCCGCGGCTTCCCGAGGAGCGGCGGGGGTCCTCGGAGCTGGGAGGCCGGAGGCCGGAGGGCGCCGCGGCCCGGGAGCTGCCTCCGCTCCAGCCGTCCATCCCGCCTCCACGCGGCGGGGGCTCGTCGCGACCCTTCATTCCCAGGGACAGCAGGCGTCCTTTGTACATCCACTTCTGCAGCTTCTTGACTGTCACCGCGGGCGGTTTGAGGAAGGGGAGCCCCTCCTGGCCGTCTTCTTTGCCGCGGCTTCCCGAGGAGCGGCGGGGGTCCTCGGAGCTGGGAGGCCGGAGGCCGGAGGGCGCCGCGGCCCGGGAGCTGCCTCCGCTCCAGCCGTCCATCCCGCCTCCACGTGGCGGGGGCTCGTCCGGTTCCCCGCGCGCGCCGCACCTGATCCAGCTGTCGCTCCGCCACCGCTGTAAGGGAGGCGGCTTGGCACCCACGCGGAGGCTGTCGAGGCTTCTGCTGCAGGACAGCCGCATCCGAGGAGTCCGCAGGCGGCCTCCCCCCGACTCCCTCGGAGGCGACCGGGGCGGGGACACCTGCTGCCAAGGGCAGTCGCCGCCTCCCCGCTCGCAGTCTCGGGGGCAGGCTCGGCGGGCCGCCGCGCCGCAGGGGGAAGGCGGAGCCGCGATCCGCCCGGCCCCGGTCGCCCTGCCGCCTGCCCGAGTCAGGGGGCAGGTCGTGCATGGCCTGGATCAGCAGATAATAGGCCTCTCGCAACTGGATCTGTAGCCTGCCTGTCTCCAGACGGCCGCCCTCCGCCCCTGGGGAGGAGCCAGCAGCCGGGGGAGGCGGGGGCCACCGCTCCGCCTCCGCCCCCTCAGGCTCCGGCGCGGGCTGGGAGCCGCCGGGCAGGTTCTCGTAGTAGTCGGCGTCGTCCTCCTCGTCCTCTACGCTGCCCTCGGAGCCTGGCGGAGCGTGCAGAGAGGCGCGAGTGAGCCCGCAGCCCGAGGGTGCGGCCTCCTTCCCGCCGCGCGGCCGAGGCCAGAGCGCCCCCGACCTCTCCGGCCGCCCTCCCGGGACCCGCGCCTCAGGACCCCACGCCTGAGGCGACGGCGGCGGTCGCTCCAGCCTCGGCCGGGCTCCGCCGGCGCGCTCCCGTAGGGGCCCGCCTGGAGCACCCCCGGCATCTCCCTCGGCAGCCGAAGAGGCCGCCACGGTGGCTGCTGCGGCCGCCCGGCGCCCGGGCCCCCCGGCGGCACGAGGACCCCGCCTGCCCCGGAGCCTGGACAGCGTCCTCCTCAAAGGGTCCGTCATCCCCCTCCGCCTCAGCAGCCAGGCTAGCCCCTGGTGCGGGGAGAGCTCGGAGCCCCGCTCGGGAGGAAGCCGCGCTCGCGGCGGCGGCGACGGCGGCTCCCCATGACCGACACTGGCCCTCGCGGGCTCCTCACATTCTTGGCATAACTCTGCCCCGGGACGGGTGGGGGAGGGCGGCGGCGCCGCAGAGCGCATGCCCCGGAGCCCCGGGCCGCAACGGGGCGCGCGGGCTGCCGGCTGCCGCTCTGCGGGCGTCGGGCGAGGCAAGGCGGAGGGCGGGGAAGGGAGGTGGGTGAGAGCTAAGGAAGACCGAGGGGTGCAGAGAGAGCGCACCGAGGGGGGTGGGGGGTTGCAGTAAGAGTCGAGGCGGGAAAAAGAAGGAGCGGGAAGGTGAGTCTGCGCTGGAGGCTGCAAAGTTCTGGTTGGGGAGACGGAGAAAGGGAAAGTGCCCTCCTGGCTGCCACTCAGTCACCTTCACCACCCTCCGCATTGCCACCACTGCACGAGGCGTGTCCTATAGTGCAAGTCCTAGCTTGAGAGAAAACAAAGATTGTTTTGACGGATAAGGTATGAGTACAGGTGTATCTCACTTAGTGCAGTGTGTTCTAGAAACGTTCCGAATCATTTTAATTTGTACAGGGAGCTGCCCACTTAAAGGAAATTTGCAGAGATTCCTTTTCAATTAGGAAGAATCCTTTTGTCCAAAAAAAATCACCACTGGTGTCTCTTTTTAAAGTCTATTTTTCTTCCTTCCTTCCTTCCTTCCTTCCTTCCTTCCTTCCTCCCTCCCTCCCTCCCTCCCTTCCTTCCTTTCTTCCTTCCTGTTAATGCATGCTAACACAAAATTAATTGTAGCATAAACCAAAACTTGTAAAACGGAGACGCAAATATAGTCTACCCCATCACCTAACACTTTGTTTTAATTAAAACTGGGTTGAAGAACAATTGGGTTGAAATTGAGAAACAATGTTATTTGGAAATACCAACTCTCTCTCAAAAGCATTAAATTCCATGTTCTGTGTAACATTTGTAAAATACCTTGTGTTGCCACAGAGCAGTGGACCTGTTTGTGGTTGATAAGAATCAATCTGATTTCAGAGTTAAACTTTTTAGCGCTTACGTATTAGAAGGGGCCTTTGTCTGAGTACCTCATAAGTGTACTACTAACTCCTAGCACAGTACTTGCACCTAGTAAGTACTCAAGAAATATTTGTTGATTAAACAAATACTTGCATAAGTGAATTTAACTGACCCTATTCTCAACGATATATATCAATGTAAGTTCCTTTTTTTTTTTTTCCCCTATCAGTCAAAGGCTCCAGCCTCTAAATGTGCTTTGACCTATACTTCCTTTATTAGTACCTAGTCTCTGCGTCCTGGAATAATTTTACCTGCATCTCTATTTGCAGAAATCTTACCCATCCTTTAAGATTCCATTCAGCTGCCTTCTTCATGAAGTCGCCTCTGATCTTCCACATGGACACGATCTCTCTTCCTCCAAACTCCAATAGTACTTATTCATACCCACTCAAAGTATGTTTATTATTATTTGTTTTTTACAAGTTGCACCCTATCTCCCATACAAGAAAATTCATAAACTCCTTGAGGGCAGAGACTACTTATACTTGACTTATATATTCTTCATAGAGTATAACATCTTATACACTGTACATGACGAATAAATATTTTAAAACTAATGTCAACTTTAATTTGAAGGAAGCAAATGACTTTAATTTCCAGTCTATTGCCTGACTCTCCACTAGACCATACTCTATTAGTGTTGTTTTAAAATTCTTTCAGTGATGTGTAAGAACATACTTTGTTAAATAATCTTAATTCTCATCTAGGAAAATACAGTGAAATGTTACACTACAATTTGCATACATTACTATTTATAGTTCTACACTGTTTTTATTCTATGGAACCAAAGCTATTTAATGAATAGTCAAGGCATAAAATTATGTCCCAGTGAAATATTCCCACAGGAAACGGCTGATGATAAAGCTGCCAATGGTGTCTATAAACACAATTTGATCTCTATCTCAGAAATTGTTTCCATTCCAACTCTTGTTTGCAAAATCTTTTTATTCTTTGTAGTTAACACAGTTGTTAAGAATACCATAAGTTGCATATCTATGTTAAAATGAATAGAAAAATGTAAGGTGGAAGGTCTTGGTTGAACTTCATCCTTAATTCAACTTGTCATCTTGCTGAGTTCAGGAACTGTAAAACATATTGGCCAGTATAAAACATAATGCAATGTTCTAAGAATTACTCAGAACTAAGTCTGATGCTGTACGGCACAGCTGAACTTAAAGTTGCTTTAAAGTTGAGAATGTTCTAATGCATATATTCCCAATTTTTAAGAAGTATTTTGGGTCACAACAGCAATGAAGGCAGTCATAGCTATGTGACACTATTTAATGACTTTAGAAACGCAAATCCCACTTTTCTGTATGTGCATAACACTTCAATAAAAAGTTTATAAAAACGTAATTCTAAGAAGACAGTGCCCTCAAAACTTACATATACATATAATTAAGACAGTGACAAGATATGAACATAAGCTATATTGTGTAAAATCCTTTTTGTGTTTTAACAATTTCTACCCTATTCCCACAGTTACCTCAATTTTCATATGTTTCTAATCAACAGATTCCTATGAAAACTAGGAGGTAGGGATATATTTTCCAGTGTTTGTACTTGCTTCTCAGTGACTTGGAAATCATCCTGATGCCCCATGAATTAACAACTATGTGTCGACACTATCACAAAAGATAAAATAACTATGGGATAACAGGGCTCTAGTAAGCAGGGAGGTAAACTAGAGATGGGGTCATACTGAATCTAGGAAAAGGCGGGAAAGGCAGGGCAGGTTGAGGCAGAGGGCTAAGTCTAACAGCAGTAGAAGGGAAATATCTAGGTACCTTATGGTTATTTTCTAGGCAATGTAGGGTGCATTTCTCACTGCTACTCAGTCTTCCATTCTTGGTTCTTAGTGGAACCAAAGGCAAGTTTAACTTGGCATTTGCCCAGTTCTCTCTCTCTAAACTGTCTTATGGGGATCCTCTGGTGTAGACCTACATGGTCTGCCATGCAGTTCCACAAATAATTGAAAAAAAAGTGCTTCAGCCTAAAGCTGACCACATCACCACTGCCCTGGGAATCAAAGAAGGCATGTCCTCAATAGAGCAATTTTTTCTGTTAGTTTTCTCGTAACTAACAGTGTCTGGCAATTGGTAATATTCTTTAACTCATCCCACACCTCCAACCAAAGTAATAAAAAGGAGGCTTTTGCTGAGTACACATGTATTTTCTAATATTTAGAAATGTATAATGTTTTAGAATATTCACTATTTCAGCTCCTCTTATTACATATTTGGGATATGCAGAGTAACTTGCTCAAGGTCACCGTAATAAGTGAAGGGGAATTCAGACCCCATCTATCTGATTCCAAAACCACTACAGCCCTGGGATATTTCCTTGTATAGAAAAAGAGAACAGACATTTTCTACTTGCACTGACTTGAACCTTTGCTTTCATAAATTATTTAGTTGGTCACCTTTCAGAAAAGATTTTAATATTTTATGAGCTTTTGTGAAATGCAGCTGAACATTGGAAAGCTGCTTGTTGAACATTTGGAATGCTTCTCTGTGCAGTCCTCTTCAAGGGTGTTAGAACTGAATCCTATAATGTATTCCCTTTTAACTGTAAATATTAAGCCACAATGTGAAACTGCATCCTGTAAATGTCATCTAATTTGAAAAGTAGGACAAGCTACAATTAAATACTTTAAAGACAAAATATATGCATCCTTAAAACCACAGGAGCCCTCAGATAAGCCCCTTGAGAAGTGAACTGGTATAGCCTGTCTTTCCTAAATGACTTGTGCCTCAGGATAACCCATAGTTGAAGGGAATTTGCTCTTTTGCAGAGTTGTCATTCTAATAACAAGATTTGATGCAATATCAACATTTTTTACCTTAAAGAAATAATGGCTCTACTAATGGACCTAGGCAAAAGTCACCAATGACTACTAACATCACAAAGGGAGAAAGAGACAACCTGACACTACACGGCCTCTGATCCAGTACACAACTCCACCTATGATGTATTCTTACCAAAAATGAAACCTGAGTCTGATCAACCTCAGGATCTGATTACCAATTTCCAGGAATTACAGAGAACAGAGGAACATGTTAGATAGCACCATGGGAATGTGATCACAAAATCCAGACTATGGGAAGCTACAGGTCAGAGGATCCAGTTCCTTCAACATATTAACCAATTGCACTGTATGAACTTTCAAAATTTTAATTGGAATCCAGCTTTTCAAATAGATCCTGGCAACTGTTTTAAAGCAATAAAACTTTGAGGGCAGCCAAATAATATACACTGCAGGGATGGCAAGAGAATGTTGAAATCTATGT